ATTTCCTATAATTCTTTTTCAATCTTTTTCACAACTTCGTTTAAGGCTGTCTTTTCTTCCTCTTTCTTTATTGACTTCACCCCTTTCTTAAACAATTCTCAACTCTCTTGGAAGTAATTTTTCTTCGGACTCGTTTCTAAATCAAACATCGAATAAATGGCTCTTCCTGCGTCGGTTTGCCACCACGAGTGGGCAAAAATAACTAACTCATTTAGGGCCTCTCTTCGTGGCTGGCACTCATCCCCGGACGTTAGATACTTCTCAACACTTTCCGGATAATTTGCGGTCAAAATTCCAGCATAAACTCCTTTGGCTCGATCAAATTCTTCTTTCGGAAAGTTCGGCGGCAAATGAGCGAAAAATCTCCTTTCGTCCTCTTTCAATTTGTAATGCTTAATTCACGGAAGGAAAATTTCGATTTCTGAGGGCATGATTATTTGGGAGGAATTTGGATTTGAGATTGAAGCCGTTGTTGAGCATCTACTTCCATAAACTCAATTTGGCAATCTGATTCCTCTTTTAATAATTTAGACTCTCCCTGGGTGTTTTTTTCTTGTAAAGCGAGGGATAATTTCCGCTTAGATTTTTCAATCAAGTGAGCCGATTCACTAACTTGAGCGTTTGGCTCATCTGGAATGTCTATGTTTATCTTTTGAGAAACTCTCTTTTTTGGAGAAATTTCTTGTTGAAGCATTAATTCGTCTAACTCGGTTGATAATTGATACGATTTTTCTAAGTCGGTTTGTAACTTAGCAAAACTTTCTTGTAATTGATAAATTTCTTTTCAATACTCTTCATTATCCATTTCTTTAATAGATTTTTTTTTAAATTTTGTCAACTGGCACTGAGCAATACTTAAATTTTGTTGACCAATGTTTTTTTCTTGGCTGAAAAGTCTCATCTGCTCTTCTAAATTAGAAATAGTTTGTTTTAAAAAAGTTTCCTTGATTAAATTGTTTCTAACCAATATTTCTCTTAGTAATTTTTGTTTTGTTTTTGCTTCTTTTTTAGCTAGGTTTGGCGAACTATCTTCCATAAAATTAACTAGATCAATCTTAAAGCTTTCTGGAGTTTCAGTTACATCATAAAATTGTTCGCTAATTTCTTTTGAATTTTGTAATAACTTAATTATTTCTTCAGTTGGTAAAAGTCGACTAGTGTAAACTGCTTCTTCGTGTTTTTTATACTTAGGAAATCTTATTTCATTGGGTAGTAAGGTTCGATTAAATTCTTCTGCTTTTCTTGCTTGTTTGGCAATTAAAGAATCCGGTTCATTAAGTTCATTTTTTCACTGGTTTAAAGTGATTAATAACTCATTAGCGATTGGTCGTTGTTTAGGTTCAACATCTCAACATTTTTTAATTAGTTCCTTTAATGGTTGTGGTACTTTTATGCTACCTAAATTAGGTCGTAACCCTTGGCAGATTTTTAGGCCCAAGAATTCGTCATGAGCACACTTGTAATAAGGAGGATAACCAGAAAGAATTTCGTAGGATATGATTCCAAAAGAATAAATATCAGAGGCCTGGGTATAAGGTTGACCTTGTAAAACTTCCGGAGCTACATAAGGCAAAACGCCATAAATTTCATTATCGCTCTTTATATTAACTGGTCGACATAATCCTAAATCAGTAATCAAACATATCAAATCAGAAAAATAAACTCCCGCCCCCCTACTTAAAATATTACCAGCATGGAAATCTTTATGCACTAATCCTTTATTATGAATATTTTCCAATCCCTCAGCAATAGAATGCAACTTGATGAATCTCTTCTTGAGGTTTAACTTATTGTTATTTCTCTGTAAATATTCTCGTAAATTACCACCTACGACATAGTCCATGACCATTAGATAATTTTTCGTCTTAGGGTCTTGGGAAATACCATGACATTTAACAATTTTAGTATTATTATCAAACAATTTATGACTAGCAACTTCTCGTAAAATTTCGGGAGTTAGGTTCTGAGAGTTGTTTAAACTTTTGAGAATAATATCTTGCCAATTTCATTCTGCAATATAGATTTTACCAAATCCCCCTTCCGTCAGATATTCAATATTATCCAATTGTTTGTAAGGTATTTTTTCTAAATTTGCTTCTTCGATGAAAAAATTAATCTTTTCTTCGCTTTGCTTGGAAGTCTTAAACTCTCAATATTCTTTCCTCAATTCGTCTAACCTAGTTTTTGTCTCGGATAGACAAATTTTCCTTTCTTTTAAATAATTAGCAAAATCATAATCGCTGAACTCTAAACCGATTTCTATTCATGATTTAATTTCTGCAAAATTAAAGCCAAGGTTTTCTCATTCTCTTCGTTTTTCTTTATTTATAAAGAAACATAATTCTCGATCAATTTCTTGAACTTTACTAGTAGGTCTTAATTCGGATGAATAGCGAATCTTTCCGATGCTTTGTGGTAAATGCTCTACACCACTAGCAATATCTGTATTACTGATATTTAAATGTTTCAATTTATTTGAATTCTTGAAAGGTTCTAAGGAACCCATAAAACGATTATAGATTTTTTGATTAATTTTATTTTCATCATGGTTACCGATTTTTAAGTTCTCTAAATTACCGAATTGACTAAAAGCTGAACAGTCTTGCTCAGAAAGATTATTACTACTTATATTCAAGTGAGTTAATTGCACAGAATGGGAGGGATAAATTATTTGGGTGAGATAATTGTTAGAACAATCAAGATGTTTTAACTGATACAGATTACAGCAATCTAGGTTAACTAATTGGTTATACGGACATTTAATTTCCTTTAATTTATTGCAATTAATTATATTGAGATCAGTAAGTTGGTTTAAAGAACAAAGCAAGATGCTTAAATTAGAGCACTTACTCAGAATGAGAAGAGTTAACTTATTATTATCACATTCCAACTCTTCTAAATTAACAAAGTCACTTAAATCCAAACCACCTTCAAGATTTTTATTTTTCAAATTTAACTTTGTAATATTTCCCCTTTGTACTTTCGGATAATTTGCATCCAATCATTCTTGGGCGTTTACTAACTTAACTACCTCAATTTTTCCTTCATAATTTATCGTAAATTGTTTTTCATTTACGTAATAAGATATGTATACTTTCTTCAGATTAGTAAAATCTTTTAAATACAATTCCCCTTCTAATTGTTCCTTAACAAATAAGTACTTTCGTGCTTTTTCTTTTTTTGGGTAATTTTTATCTAACCATTCTTGGGCGTTTACCATAATAAAATTAAACTAACTCAAAATACTGAACTAAGTCTGGTATTAGGCGACTTTAACTCGAACTAGCAATTTCATTCTTGTTATATATTATACAAGTATACAAGTGCTGTTACAATTCCCAAAAGTAAGAAAAGTAAAAAGGAAAAGCGAGCAAAAGATTGGTTACGGGTTGTGAGGAATTAAGAATACTGAACGAGGATGGTTATTATCGCAAATGTGAAGAAGAAAGTGATATTTAGTTTGAGTTTATGAGTTTATATTTTTAGGTAGGAAGCAAAGAAAGGAAAGAAAAAAAAAAGCATGAGAATCAGGCTGGCTATTAAAAGTGCGATCTGTGGTCAGCGATCGATTGAAATTATTTGGATAAACTTATCAATTTTTCCCGGTATGATTTCTTTTTCAAAGTCTGGTTTGGGTAGATTTTGGTAATCAATGCCATCAATGTCTGTTGAAAAGAAGTTTATTTCTGGGGGGCAGGCACAGCTAGAGCAGTATCATTTTTCATCAATAGAAATAATTTTTGTACAGCTGGAACATCTCACTGTGATTTTTTTTTTTTTTTTTTTTTTTTTTTTGCTTGTGGACAATTGTTGGCTTATGTATCAAATTGATTATCCCACGGCGTGCTTTCATAAAATGCGAAAGTCTCGTTTGCCGCCGCATATTCTATTACATATTATATACATTTTTCCTCTTTTAGAGAATTTGAACTTATAAAAACCCTTCCAAATTAAACGCTTTGTGGGGATAAAATTAACATACTTAACCAAGAAGTTGCTGAATTAAAAAACAACTCAACAAAGTTGCATTTTCTCTTCCAAAGAGTAGATTCCTTGGGATTTGGTTTGGGGTAAATAAAAAATCAAGTAGATGAGAACGCCAAATAAAAAGGTGAGAACAGTTATCAACAAAAATAAAATAATTCCTCGCATTATTTCTTTTTTTATGCTGCGACCACTCTTCTAAAAATTAAACTTTCCATCAAGTTTTTTCTCGCAAAAAACACCAAAATTTTCTAGCCCATTTTCTGGATACAAATTGACAAGCAAATTTTCTAGCAATTTTAGCTAATTTTTTCAGTCCTAAAATTGGAAGAATAAACACTTTATAATATAAATTCAATAACAGCTGTAAGAAGGGAAAAACGGTGGAGAAGCAAAGCTTTACAATTTAGTTTTCGACAACTAAGGTTTTAGTAAACGACCCAGCACTATATTCATTATTAGAACATTAGAATAGAATGTACACATTCGTGCGTGCAAAAACTTTTGTTGTGGCAAGAGTTAGGAATTTTGGAAAATATTAGAAAACAAAAAACTTACACTCCCAAAGAAATAGAAGGAGCATTAGGATCTTAATCATGCTAACCGTATTTAAACTTACCTAAAAAGACCTCAAACGACTCGAATCGCTCACGGAAAGAATTAAAGATATTTAGAGCACGCTAATAAACTGATAAAGCATTTCGAAGAAAAAATAAAGGAAGGGCACCGAAGATTTACTAGAACATTTGAATTTAAAAGAAATAAGTGTATAAAGTCAAATGAACTCCCAAAGCCCGCAAAAGTTTAGCGAAAAATGATCTCGCCAAAGACCCTTGTCATTGAAGAGCAATTTAAAAGGCTAGTGAAGTTTTCATTGCACTAGTTATCGAGTCAGCTACCAAATAATTTAATTCTGATAGCAGAAGTAGAAAACCACCGAGACCTTTGCTATTAAAAATAATTGGCCAAGAGTCGGTAAGGAATTTTACTAGGACTGAGGATAAGATAAATAGACTTAGACAGCTAGTTAATCCACCCTGACCGACTCAGGCAAAAATCCCTTTCTCACCAAGTATTATGCGGCTTTCTGGCTAGTTTTAAAGGGCAAGGAAAAAGCGTAGTACTCCTCCCACTCCGGTCGGAAACACTAAAAAAAGATTAAAATGACTTTATGATAGAAGCACAATTCTGACTAAAAAATCAGGAGGAATATAACACACCAGAAAAAAGAGGCCAAGTAAAAACAATGACCATTTGCTACAACGATCTTGCCGGCAGTTTAAATTTGTACGAATTTATTAATCTCGAAGCATTAGATTGTGCTTGAAATCAACTAACTAATTTAAAACTTGGTAATTGTACAAAATTAAGAGAATTATGGTGTGGTTCTAATCAGTTAAGAAATCTAGATTTAAGCGGGCTTACCCAGTTAGAGAAATTGGAATGTTGTGATAATCTTTTGTCTAGTTTCGATTATTCGCAACTAAACCCGGAGCGGTTAACCTACTTAAATATTAGTGATAATAATTTGCCGAAGCAGGACTTAACAATTTTTAGTCCATTAGTCAACTTAAAAACTCTCTGGATCAATAATCACGATAAGGAAAAAATCGAGCGGGGCATTTACAATTGCTGAGTTGGTTCCCTGAAGCCATTAAGGAACTTGCGGGAATTAAAAAGACTGGATATTAGTAATACTGATATTGATGCGGGACTAGAATATTTGAGTGGTTCCTTGGAAAAAGTTGTTTGTGAAACCAAAGAGCGTCCTGAAAGCACGGTCCAAAAACTTGCGGAAAAATTAGTTATTTACAACAACGAAATTAAGCAGTGGCGTGAGGTTAACTTTGACTTAATTAACCAAATCCAAGAAAGTGAGAAATTATTGAATACCTTTTTTTTGATTAATAGCGTCCTCACTAGAAATAATTTGAGTAACGAAGAACTAAGCAGAGAAGAAAAACTATTGTCAATAATGCTTTCTTACTTAGAAAACGAGATTAAAGAAGGGCAAAAATGACTATATCAGGAAAAGCAAACAGCTCCTCAAACTGAGTCCCCGCCTATGCTTACTTCCGAAACTTCTTTCTCCCCGTCGTTAGTCAATCTTAGTCTAAGTATTCTTGGTCTAATCCTAAAATGTTAAAAATATTAATATAAGCAAATTAAAAAAAATATAATAAAGCCATGACGTTAGAACAAAAAATTACCGAATTTTTCCAAGCCAATCAAGATCTTTCTAAGGAAAGCAATTTGCTCTATAGTTTTTACAAAGTGAAAAGTTATACCTACAACGAACCTCAGAAACGGCATAAGCTCACTGTTGTGGCCAAAGATCCTAATTCGCGAGATCAAACGAATTATCAACTAGAAAGAACCGGAGATTTACATCTTGATTTGATCGAATGTATACAAAAAAGAGAAGAAATAGTTTATTTTTGAACTGGCGACAAATTAGAGGAAAGTGATCCTTTCTATTTTGAGGGGGGTGGTTATTATTGAACAATCTTTCCTAAAAAAAATTTCTGTGCAGAACAACATGCTCAGAAGTGATTAGATGAAAACTATCCACGAGAAAGTAGACACCAAATAGAAGAATTAGAAATAAGGGGCATAAAAACCAAGACTATTGGTTGGCGACTGCTAACTGGAAAATTAGATCTTTCTGATTTTGTCAATCTGCAATACTTAGATTGTAAAGACAATCAATTAACCAGTTTAGATTTGCGGAAAAACACCAAACTAATGCAACTTAATTGTTCTTATAATCAACTTACTTCTCTGGATTTGGCCAACAACTTGCAGTTGGAAGTGCTATATTGTTCCAATAATTTGTTAAACAATAGCATTGATTCACTGTTGTCAAAAATTAATCCCGAGAAATTAAATGAACTTGACTTGGCCAACAATAATAGCCTTTTTAAAGAATTTGGTTTAAGTAGTTTTAGGAAATTTGTCAATCTAAAAAGTCTAGATTTATCTAATAACATTTTCTGTGTCGGTTCCCTTGAACCTTTACAAGACCTAACCAAGTTAGAGGAATTAAATGTTACTAATACTAATATCAATAGTGGTTTAGAATATTTACCTGATAGTTTGCAAAAATTTCAGTGCTATGACCCTGATTATGAGAAGGATTCCTGTAAGTCAACTACGCTCTACCGCAAAGAATTATATAGTTTTAATGGTGACCTTAAAATTTGAAAAGCATTTTTTAATAGTCCGGCTCAGCAATGATTAGATAAAGAATACCCGCCAGAAGATGAAGAAGAATGACAAGAAGAAGGACTTGTAGGAGAGTGATTTAAAGAAGAAAGTCAAGAAAGTCAACCAAAAAAAGAAAGAAAAGAAATTATTGAATTAGATGATATTAGCAATAAAAACCTCGAAGGTCCCTTAAGACTAAAAGGTTTTACTAAATTAGAAAAATTAGATTGTTCTCATAATAAATTAACTAAACTCAATTTAAGCGATTGTCCCGATTTGCTGGAACTCGACATTTCTAATAATGAATTTAACGACTGGGAATTTCTCAAAGTTGTGCCTAAACTAGAAATATTGCGAGCCTCTAATAACCAAAAGCTTTCTCCCCAAGATTTGCGAATTATACTTACACTTAAAAATTTAAAAGAGTTGATTATTAATGGTTGTTCTTCTTTACAGGGAAGCCTAAAAGCCTTGGAAAATTTATCTAAATTAATCAAATTAAACATTAGCAATACCAACATCAAGGAAGGGTTGGAATATTTACCGAAAAGTTGCGAAATAATTTACTGCAACAGTGACTATCAATACAAATCTACCAAAATTATGGAAGAGTTAGACAAAAGCCGGTGTTGGGATGATAAAGGAAGGTATTACAATCTTAATAGATGAAGGGTTGACAAGGCGGATGGTCTTGCGGCTTCGGTAATTCCTTCAGAGAGATTGTTTGTTATTAGAAGTAATATTAAACATTTCTTAAACAAATGAGGAATAAAGAAAGGTAATAAGGTAAGTGAATTAAGCAAATTGCAAAATCCGAAAGAATTAAGTTCTTATTATTACCTAGGAGAAGGGGCACAATGAGCGGCCCGAGCCACGGCGGTTGCTGGTGGCGTTTTGGCCGCTACGGTTAATCCCGTGTTGGGAGGAGTTCTAGCGGCAGTTTCTCCGGTAGTGGAAGTAGGTGCTTCCCAAATGAAAGAAAAAGTTTACGAGGCCAAGGAGAAAAGATGAAATGAGTTTCTCGAAGATACTAGTGAATTTCTTGATAATTATCACGAATTACTAGGAATACTCGAACCAATTAAAATTGGGGAAAGAGGGGAAATAAACAAAATACTGGAAGATTTACGAAAAAGAGTCAACGAATTTTTAGCCAGATATGACCAAGATAGCAACGGCGAAATCGATATTGACGAGTTAATAGAAAAAAGAAAAATGTTGGAGGAAGATTTTAATAAGGATCAGGAAAACGGGAAACTATGAAAGGTTGTCGAAGCCATGAAAAAACTAGAAATAGAGATAATTAAGTATCATCAAGGTGGCGAAGAAGAGAAGTCGCAAAAGGTAGAAACGAAAGCTGAAGAGAATAAAGAGTTAAAAAGCCCCTGTCAGAAAATTCTTGCTGGTGAGGTGAGCGAAGGAATTAAAGAATGGTGACAAGAAATCCTGGACAAATTAAATACTCCTTTGCAGTGTTGGGATTGTTGAGAATGTTGTAACCAAAAAAAAGAAGTTAACAAAGTAGAGAACGAACAATTAAGGCAAGCCCAAATCCAAATCCCACCCAAACAAAATTAAATAAAACTATGGCAAAGAATCAGAAATCAACTCTTGAAAAAGCCCAGGAGTATAAAAAATATTTAGAGGAGTTAGAAGATCCTAATTACCAAGGTGGCTCTTGGTCCTTGCCGCAAAATCCTACTCCATTGGAGCAAGCTAAATATGAAATCTGTAAACAAGTAGTAAGTTATAAGTTAGATACAGAACTTAGCACCGAAGCAGTAGCCAAGAAAATTCAATTAAGCAAGGCCGAAACGGAAGATATTTTATACTATCGGATTGATTACTTTACCCTTGATAGACTAGTTTTTTACGCTTCCCGTTTATTTCAGCCACTAAGGGTAAAAATGGTTATGACTACCGAAAGGACTGATGAACGTCTTCATGAGCGAACTATTTAAGTTAAGGGAGGAGAAATTTAGTAAAAAAGATAAAGAATGGCAATGAACTTATACAATACACTTTAAACTTGTCTTTAATAAAAGAATAATTAGTAAGGTTACCATCACTGACTACACCTGAACAAAAAAAGGTCGAGAAAATATTACTAAAGAACTGATTTTAGAATTATTAGCCCACAAAATAAATGGCGAAATATTAACTTCCGAACCCAAGAAAAATCTCGCTTGAAAAAGAGATCATTTTGTTTTGAAAAGAATTTCTTTTAGTGAAGAAAGGTATAAATTAGTTTTTTGATTTAAAGATAACGCCACTGACCATTTGTGAATAAGAAATTGTCATCAACAAGACTAAATTTTTTCGCCTTTGCGAACTGTATTCAATTGTTTTGCTCTATGAGATCCGACCTCATTGACTTTTGTTCTCTCGGTTAAAAATTGGATTTTTTGCCAAAATTCTTCCAAAAATTATCACCCTAATTTTTGGATACAAATCTGAAAGAAAACTTATAGCATTTTTATCTAATTTTTTTTCTCTAAAATTGGGATAATAAAAGATTTATTATATAAAATATGAAGCAAAAACAGATTAAAGAACAAATATTAAAATTGGTCACCCCAATGTTAGACTGATACCAATTGGAAATAAAAGGCTTGCAAGCCAGCCTGAGAGAAGTCAAAAAAATTGTGCAAAAAGAGTCTAGTGAACTAACCTCAAGTGATTGGGGAGATTTACAACACGAAATGAAATTCCTCCAAGAGAGACTTGGGGACGAAGATAATTACGAGAAGTTAGAAGAATTGACCAATAAGTTAGCCAAATAATTATGCCATTTACCAAAGAACAAAAACAAAAGTTGGAAAAAAATAAGCAAATTAGTTCGAAAACAAAAAGGTGGTGGACAAAGGTAGTGGAGAACAAATGTCCACCGATGTCCGCCAACTCAAAAAACGTTAACGAACCGAATATTACTGGAAACAGAAGGCTAATAAACGAGCGGAGAAAGAAGGAGTAAATAATAATCTGCTGGAAACAGAAGGGATAACAGCCAGCATTAAAGGTTTCGAAGCCGCCGAAGGATTAATTAGGTGATTGGAAAATTGTCAAAAATATTCTCGGGCCTGATTAAAAAAACGTTTAACTCCTGAAAGCGATGGTTTTTGGAGGGCTTTTACTGAATTGTTAAAAAGCAATCGTCAGCAATATAGTCAGGAAACTATTACTGCTCTCGATCGGTGAAAGTGAAAGCAAGAAAGAGACGAAATGGCAACAAAAAAACAAATCAAAGCCAGTCGCAAGCGAAAGGCTGGTAAACAATTTTTCTATGAACCTCATCTTAATCGTTTGTGATAGTTTTGGCTAAGGCCGTAACCCAATGAGGCCGGAATCGTTTTATTTTCTTTATTTAGAACCAATTCTAGAAAAGGATTGGCACCTGCGAGTCTATTGCTAAGAATTTCGGGATAACCAATTGCGGCATTTTCGCACTTACTGCTCTTGCCGGAATACTCGATTGGTTACATTGCTATTTACGATTGGGACGAAATAACCAAAACTAGCGAGGGTAGGTGATAAAAAAGATTTAGGTGTGAAAAGGATATTCTGCCGGGAATAAAAAACCTCTCGCTTTAAGTAATTAGGAAGTATAAATCTCAAAAACGCATTAGAAAGTTTGGTAATAAAATTAGTTGAATTTCTCAAAAATATAGAAGATTATTAAGTTGTTAATTTGTAAGTTTTGTTAATGAAAAAATACCAGAAAGAATAGGGCAAACTTAGACCAACAAGCTTACTTATGAGTTGTGTAAGATTTGTTATTCAACACCAGCGGCAGTGTTTATTTAACTTTAAAGAACAGTTAATTTATTTGGGTGGAATTTGGATTTGAGCTTGGGGGGAATTTTGAACTTGCTTTTCTTGAATGTTTAGATTTTCCATTGGTTCAGTTAGGGAAATGCTAATGTCATCCACAGGCCGAGATATATCAGTTTGAGAAAACCCGTTACTTAATTGGGAACTTTGTAATAATTGAGTAATTTCCTTAGTTGGTAAAAGTCGACTAGTGTAGACTGCTCCCTTGTGGACATTATATTTAGGAAATTTGATTTCGTCTGATAAAGTTTTATTATACTCCTCAACCGATTGAAGTTGCCGAGTGAATTCGGTATCTTCTTTGTCGTAAATTTCATTACACCAATTAAGCAA